GGATTTACGAAATTATTACAGTTTAATATAGAAAAAGAAATATTAACTACAAAAAAAAATTAAAAATATAGTTTTTACTCCAAAATTATTTAAAAAAAAACACAAGAAACATCTTAACATTACTTTTTATTTTGCATCGTAAGCAACTTTGTTTTGTAGTGCCATTCGCTATGACAATAAACGATTCTTAAGGTCAATGTTTCAATAATGTAGGTTTGTATTTGAAACACCCTTTTTATTACTAAGGTTGATTATACGTGGCTTAATCAAGATGTAAAAATAAAAATAATTTATTCATTCAAGTTAAAAGAAAAAAAATATAAGAATAAGCAAAATTATTTGGAAAAAAATTTCTTCACATCATTAAAAAACTTGTTAATTCTTAGAGATAAGTCGACAAAATTTAAAGCAAGAGATTAAATTTTATTATATTTATTATTGTTTCATCAGTAATTTGACNATTACAAGTAAATCTACAAAAAGAACACATTTTGAAAGTCATTAAAAGTTAATATACTAGTATTTTTATCTCAAGGATTCAAAGAAGTTGTAGATTTAATTCTGACATCGATAAGTTCAAATGTTTTTCTATAAGAATGTGAAAGAAGTCCTGGCACTATGGTACTAAATTGATAAAATAATAAATTATAAATTTATGTGGCATTTATAAGATAAAATAAGGTTACTAAGAACTTCATATTATTTTAACCTGTTATATACATAAAAAATATAGTTTCAGATAACAAAAAATCATACAACAGTATTTGATGAATTTGAACAATTGCAATAATGATTAAATAACAAGTAATCATCTTACTAATGTATGAAGCAAATTCTCAAAAACCGTTGTAATCGCTAACCATGAAAACAACTTAACCGATCTTGCTCAAATTTTGCATACTTATTTTTGAAACTTTCTAGATAATTTTCATACAGTTTTTTTCATAAAAAAATTAACAACTATAGCAGTAAATAAACTCAAAGTTTTGAAAAATACGCTTGCTTTTCACTTTCGTTTAGCAGAATACGCTAGGTGGTGTAGAAGTCAAATCGATAATACCTAAAATACAAGTAAGTGGGTCCAATTATAAGATCCCTGAGAAAATTCCCAAATAGCATAGTCGTTCACTGACAGTGCATCCAAAAAAAAAATGTAAGTCGTGCAGCTGGGTATCTCAGCTACCAACGACACTCCTTTCGAATAAAGAAGTTACTTACTTCAAATTCCATTTCAAACTGCCAAGATTAACGAGTGACACGATTAAAAGGCGTTGTAATGACCAATGTCTCAAGCAAAATACCAAGAGATATCTAGCCCAAGCACACACAACCTGCTCTAACAATTTAGGATTTCGTAGTTGTTACTGTAAGAACGCTGGTGATACAAGAACAGATCTTGCTACAACAGCAAGCCAAGTAAGACAACCCTAAGGAGTTAGGACAGCTACATCAGCTAAAAATTTGATCAGCTTTCTGCTCAGTGGCTCGTCCCAACGGCATACCCACAGAGAACGGATTCTCCAGGCCTACTTCTCCAGTCAATGATAAACGGTTGGTTATCCGTAAAAGAATCCAAAGATGAGATATTCTTCTGCAAGTGGAGTAGATTTGATCTTATGGGACAAAACTTGTATAATTCTTAAAGAAGCCTTAGAACTAACTGAAAAAGCACTACGTAATTCATGTTGTATAAACATCCGTTTTTATAATAAACTATTTGTTTTGGCAGAAGATTTTAGACAGATTCTTCCATTTTTAAGAAAAAGTGATAGAAGCATGAGTTTACAAGAAACTATTAAATTATCACATCATTAAAAATTAATTCATTATCTTAGACGTTATATTAATACTAGTTCAATTTAAAAAACATTTTTTTATTCACCATCGTTACTTTTGATGTTATACACAAACCAATTTTCTTTAGTCTAAGCATTTCTTACAACTATAAATAAATCTCAAGCTTAAAGTTCTATTAATGTTGGAATATATTTGAGAAAACCACTGTTTTTACATGGTCAATATTACGCCATGTTATTAAAATCAAAATAGAATTAATATTGAAACATATCGAGATAATAATTTAAAAATAAATAATATCATTAGGACAAAAATTTCTGATGTTAACTAATCTAAGGTAGATAAAAAAACATAACGTATACATTAAAAAAAGGATATAGTCGTATGTAATACTATTTTACAGTCCATTTAAATAATAAATAAATGTATGAAGTCAACAAAATTAGTGTATGAATATCGTTTTATGTTATGATAAAACAAATTTTTATAATTATTTTAAATAGTTTACTTAAATGAAGTAACGAAATAATACTGTGTTACTAAACAAAAATATATTTTTTACGTAGAGTATTAAGTACAAATGAAATCTTCAATAAAAAAAAAATTTCACTTAAATGACTAAACCATATTAAAAAATTTAAATTCGTTACATTAGAAGAATAAGTCAGAAAATTATAACACATGTTTTAAAAAAAATATGTTTATTAAGTTTCTAAATAATATGAAATTATTGAATAAAGATAAAATTATTTCCAAGGGAGTGGTGGTAAGTGTCTAAAAAGAGCTAGAAAATATCTTGGAGCGTTGCTCAGACAGTGTATTTTAAAATTGTGAGGAGGATGAAGCAGATTTCTTTAAAAGTGTAAGAAAACCTGTGAGTGGGGGAGAAGAGGGGGTCAAAAAGTAGTTAAAGAGAAAATAACACGATTTCTCACGTTAAAGCTTATCTCATTTAGAGAATAAGTTCAAGGGTGGCTAAAAGAAGCTCTTCAAAATTATAAAAAATAACTATTCGGTTATTCGGTTATAGGGTTATATAACAGTGAGGGTGGCTGAGAAACAGTGTAAGAAGGAGAGGGGGGGGGCAAACAAAAATGTAACCCAATAAACATGAGGTAGAAACCGATAAAATTTTCCCTTATTAAAAGTGGTGCTAAGAGGGGTGGTGGGGGCAAAGAAGAATTCTTTAAAATTAAGCGGGAGGGCTAAGGGAGATGGAGGGGTGCTCAACATACATCTTACATAATAAAAAATAGAAAAATACCAACAGGACTCTACCTTATAAAGAAGAATGGTGGGTGGCTAAGTGGGTAGGGGTAAAGAGGGGCAGGGGTTGTTTGAAATAACCTCTAAATTTTTATACAAGATCACGTGAACTTTGATATTTAGTATACTTAGTTAAAAGATCAATGCCAAGTTTACAAAATGGGTATAAACATTGCTTTACAACTATAGTTTTTAAATAAACTTTACTATTTTACATTTCGTAAGATTTTATTTTTACTATACGAATACCATCTGTCACTCTATAGGCAAACTCTATTAATTACCTTGAATCATTACTATTTACTTTAATTAATTTTTTTGGTACACTGGTTTCTTACAGGTGATTCTATAGTTTAACCTTACTCATAAAGGCGTTTAGTACAAGGCTTTTATTAAAGTAACAAGCATACGACTACATGAAATTATCATGATAAAGGTTAAATACTAACAATAAACAAAATAAATCTTGATGCGGCTAGTCCACCACGTTTATACACAAGTCGTAACAGTAGTCATGCTCTAATTGAGTTTATTTTAAGTCAATTTAAAGTTATCTCCAATATAAAGACAGATAAAATAGAGCATTATTGGTATTATCTTTAGTATGTTTCGAGTCACCCTTGCCCAGAAAAGAGAGGGCAGGAAGTTTAGAGCTGGCCTACCTGTACACAGCTTATCTTTGAAAAATTTTTGTTCGTTTTAAGTTTTAAAAAGTTTTGTGGCATCGCAACACATTAACGTATTTTTGCACAAATTCATATACATGCTCGTTTGAATGATTGAATAAAAGCCACGTGCCACGTCGATATTCATGTGCTATGAGCACCTATTTCGAATATCCGCACTTACAGAACCGTGGGACGACAATGAGAAAGAGAGCAGTGCACTTACACTTACACACTTATACAGGCACATCTACACAACAATTAAAGAACGTTGTTATTTTCTTTTTTTACAATTCGATTTGTTCATTTACGTAAATTTTGTCAAAGATAAACTTTTATTTTTCATAATAATGCATTTTTTAATTTAGCTGCTAAGACATTGCACTTAAACTTAGAAAGTTGGTTTTCACTCATCATTGTGTTAGCTTTCTCATAATGTAAACTTGTATCGTGGTTTCCTATTTATTATTGTTTTTCATAAACCAGTTTTCTTTATCAACTTAACCCGATCGATTGTTAGGGTGGCATAAGTGTGCCACAATTCAGTATTTGGAGCTAGCTCACCTCTCAGCTAGCATTTTTGGAACTCAAGCTATCGTAAAACTGTCTCTAACTCAACTCAGAGTTGCTTTACAATATATCTTTTAGCTCTTGAGTATCGTACATTGGAAAGGTAATCAATTTATCGCTTGTTCCTTAGAGATAAGAGCATTTGGTTAGAGCTTTTAGTAAGGTAGTGCGCACGCTACAATCCAGTTCACCAAAGCCTTTGCATACCACATAGCCTGATAGTTTACCTGTATCATTTTTTCAATTTTTTTATTTTACATCTAATTTCTTTACACGGGCTCTGAAAAATATTCTTGTTATTGAAAGTTTTCTGATCTTCTGATTTTTTTGGAAATTGTTGTTTCACACATTATAAAACCATGTATCGTCGTAGTACTAAGAAAAAAAGTTGGGTACTACTTCTGAGATATGCCTCATTTAAAACGTAGGCTAAAATCTGTAAATTTTTTTAATCAACGAATATAGTTGTAAATTAAAGTCATAATTTACATCTTTGTAAAAAAAAACACTTACATTATCAACTCAAAAATAACAAGGAAATTAGTTTCAAAAATGTTTCTAAGTTTTCGTAAACCTAATTTTTTAAGCAAGCTTTGAATACTGTTAAATAAATCCTCATGTTAAGTGCATTGTAGGTACAGTTATAACTCATAGAACCATATTTTATCAAAAATGTATTAATACTAACGACATTTTACTCACTGTTCCATTGATCGATCATAGTCATCTGTCATAATCACGGAAATTCTTCGAACCTTGAATGGATTAAAATCTTTTGTGTGCAAGTGGTACTGAGAAGTTACCCAACCGACATAAACATGTGTTGGGTCTTGTCCAGGGAAAATACGAACACCATAAAAATATTCGTTCATAAGTTTTAGACATTCAGTATTGTAAATTTCATTTCCGATCGCTTCAACTCCAGTTCCTGAGACAACAGACATGGTTTTTGGTGCATTTCTTTCTGGTATTTGGGGTGGCACAACTTTTAGATCAATCTAGAACAAAACACAAATTCCATATTTTTTAACGATTTATATTTATTTTAATAAATATTGGTTCTAATTAAAAAAATATCAATATATCATACTGTGGAAACTCGAACCGTTGGTGATCTTCCAACCCCTGTCTTACTAATTAGGGCAGGTCTTGCGATTCTTCCAATTTCACTCCTCATCTGTAGTTCTGGTGTCTTGGCTTTAGCATCTGGTGATTTAACTTTCCGTGAAAAGAACCTTAAAATAAAAATTAAATAGTTATCAATAAAACGTTTTTGCAGAATACAAAAATCCTAAATATCTCTTATCAGATAAGTTTATTTGTATTTATTCACACATGAAATAGTGTAACATATACACATATAAAGGATTTACACTTAAATAGGATACAAACGATGAAGTATATTTTCTATGAGCTCATAAATTACTAAATTTTAGTGAAGTTTTTTCAAAGTATCCATTACACAGCACTTAGAAGAAGTACAAGCACAAGAGTGAATACAATCATATTACTTATAGTACAAAAAATCACTCATCATATATAAATGGCATTTTTTTTGTATACAGCTATTTAAGTACTTTATTCTCATGATTACAAGTAAATCTACAAAAAGAACACATTTTGAAAGTCATTAAAAGTTAATATACTAGTATTTTTATCTCAAGGATTCAAAGAAGTTGTAGATTTAATTCTGACATCGATAAGTTCAAATGTTTTTCTATAAGAATGTGAAAGAAGTCCTGGCACTATGGTACTAAATTGATAAAATAATAAATTATAAATTTATGTGGCATTTATAAGATAAAATAAGGTTACTAAGAACTTCATATTATTTTAACCTGTTATATACATAAAAAATATAGTTTCAGATAACAAAAAATCATACAACAGTATTTGATGAATTTGAACAATTGCAATAATGATTAAATAACAAGTAATCATCTTACTAATGTATGAAGCAAATTCTCAAAAACCGTTGTAATCGCTAACCATGAAAACAACTTAACCGATCTTGCTCAAATTTTGCATACTTATTTTTGAAACTTTCTAGATAATTTTCATACAGTTTTTTTCATAAAAAAATTAACAACTATAGCAGTAAATAAACTCAAAGTTTTGAAAAATACGCTTGCTTTTCACTTTCGTTTAGCAGAATACGCTAGGTGGTGTAGAAGTCAAATCGATAATACCTAAAATACAAGTAAGTGGGTCCAATTATAAGATCCCTGAGAAAATTCCCAAATAGCATAGTCGTTCACTGACAGTGCATCCAAAAAAAAAATGTAAGTCGTGCAGCTGGGTATCTCAGCTACCAACGACACTCCTTTCGAATAAAGAAGTTACTTACTTCAAATTCCATTTCAAACTGCCAAGATTAACGAGTGACACGATTAAAAGGCGTTGTAATGACCAATGTCTCAAGCAAAATACCAAGAGATATCTAGCCCAAGCACACACAACCTGCTCTAACAATTTAGGATTTCGTAGTTGTTACTGTAAGAACGCTGGTGATACAAGAACAGATCTTGCTACAACAGCAAGCCAAGTAAGACAACCCTAAGGAGTTAGGACAGCTACATCAGCTAAAAATTTGATCAGCTTTCTGCTCAGTGGCTCGTCCCAACGGCATACCCACAGAGAACGGATTCTCCAGGCCTACTTCTCCAGTCAATGATAAACGGTTGGTTATCCGTAAAAGAATCCAAAGATGAGATATTCTTCTGCAAGTGGCGTATCTCTTTTTACCATGATCTCCATGATGTATGCAGTAACTTTGAGAGTAAGAATCGAGCTACACGCAGTTGGCTCTACATCATCAAGAATAATAATGAGGAATGACTCAAAGTATCACTATTGGCCCTATTTAGGGCCATCATAAGTGTGTATGTTTCCTAATTACCCATCAATATAATTGGTTTTTTTAAGAACCATCTAACGTTAAACTGCCTTGCCAACAAATACATTCTTACCACCGTTTCTGGCCATTATTAAACTAAGTCAATCATTTACGAGCAGACATTACAAGCGGAGTTATCCGTCACAAGGCTGGTTATCCTGACTACCAACAACCCTGCATTACCCTCTTATCTCTAAGCACTTAACCATACATCACTGATCTTCTCTGAGATCTGTGCTTGGTAAACCATAGAGTTAAGCTCCGAACGAGGAATAAATTTGAGCAAATGGCACAGTCTTCAACAGGCAAGCATCACGAACTAATCTTCCCACCTTAGATACAACTAGCTTCAACGCTTCAGACATTTCAGTTCCCCTCCTAGTCAGTCTGGTGCTTCAACAGCTAGCTAGAGAAGATTACCCTGAGGTATCCAGACAGTCACGTTTGCTGAAAACTTCAGTCAAGAAAGAGCTGAACTCACCGGTTTTTTAGGGCCATCAAACGTTGAACTATCTTACAAAAAATTTATTACAACCTAAAAAAGTGAACAAGAAACAGCCTTTAGGGTTTACAAAAGTTTTAACCATGCCTACAGACGTAAGAGGGTGAATTGGAAGGAGAACTTTGAATGCTTTTAACGTATGCAATTTTAGGCGTCGAGAAACAGACGCAGAACATTTATCGAGATTTGATTAGCTGTGTCAAAATAGACGAGTAAGTAAACTATTAGATAAAAGATCAGAATTGGCATATCCTTAGAGCTGTAGAATGTTTAACTTTCTGTTTAAGGAAAAGCTTGTGACTTTAAATCATGATATGTAACCAAAATCAATCTAGTTCAATCAAGTTCTGTATCTAGACACTGCTTATACTATCTATCTACGCCCATAAATCGCGAGCTCTGGTCTACTCAGATGCCAGAAACAGTACCAAGAGCAGAACAATTAGCATGTACTCTTTATTAACTCAGTTTTTTGATATTCCTATCTTTAGTGTATTAGGAGAACTATGCCATTTTCACCTTAAGAGTTTGATACTCTGTACGTCTACTCGTTTATTCTCCATCTTGTATTAAATAAATATCGATGAGTGTTACCTCAATAAAAAAATGCATCACTCTTCTTGGAACTTGCAACCCCAGTTGCATCTATTCTAGCGACTCCAATAGGTTGTAGGCAACCAGCACTATGACTTGTGGTATTTTTGTAAGTGTTGCTGGAAGAGTCTTAAGAGAAGGATATGCGTAAGTTTTAAGATCCAATTAAGGGTTCTAGCTTTACAGTCAATTTTCACGTATGTGTATCAGAGTTGCAGCTACACACATGTGGCCAGACTAAGTGTATTATTATTATTTTTAAACAGCTTATGGCCAATTTTTTCTTAGTTCTTTTATTTTATGATGAATGCCACGCATTAGGAAATATTTATACCAGTACACAATACCATTAGCCTGCCGTGAAACTCAAATCAGGCACCTGGAAATACAGAGTTGTTTATTTACGTAAGCGTAAAATAATAAGCGTTCTCTCGCAAGTGTATTTATCAAGAGAGGCTGCTGTATCAGAGAAAAATCTTAAATTACCATTTGTGTGTGCATCTTTTTTTTATGCCACTGGGTAGTATGCAGAACAGCAATACTATTTGGGAGAAAGCACGTGTGTGGATTGAAAACAAGTAGGTCTAGTACGCCATGTACTGATACTAGCCAGACGGACAGTGCCATCCAGCTTTGAGATTAAGGCCCTTTTCATTATTGCATGGTTGCATGTAGAATGGTTTGTGTGGTTTATGCAGTTTTTCTATATCAAGGAACAAGCAATAAGCTTTGATCTGAAAAATCAAAACACTTCAAAGCTTTAAAAAAAATCCATAGGAAAATCTTATTCAGAGTAAAATATAAGGTAAGGGTTATATGGCTTCATTAATAGGAAAATTTGTTTTCTCATCTAATCAACTTTATTTGTTAGCGACTAAGAATGTATTTATATATGTTTATAAAGATCTAGGTGTATTTATGCCTAGATTTATCTGGAATTCGTATAAAAATATATCTATATTATACAATTGCTTGGTTGGGGCATTCCACACGATAACACCCCTACGACTGCCTCACAAATAAGATCAAATTCCGTCATTTTTTCCCTTATTTCGACTAAGCTTAATTTTGTCTGTACTCCCAACAGCCCCCCACAACAAAGATCATGGCATAGCCTAGCAGCACTACTGCCAACCTGTACTTACTGTTGATAGATTCCACATCTCACTTACGTAGTGTCACGATCACACTTCTTTAGAAAAGAGCTGCGGATTGCCGATCGCATAAAAAAATGTTCCTCAACTTAATTATCTTGATACACCAAAATTTCCGTAACGCACAATGCTCAGTGTTGTGGCAGCATTTCCAGAATACACTTATGACAGAGGGTTACATTCTCTATTTACTTTTGGCAGCAATTTGAATATACAGCAGCATACACAGCCTCTTATGGACCAATAATCTGTTTCACGCGTTTATTTTAATAGTATTATGTCTACAGCAACTGACATAATTTTATTGGGCATTAAGTATATTTTTGAGCTGAAGAATACCTATTTAATGTTGCATTATAAAAAAATTTTTATTTTTTCTTACATACGTGTATTTTGTAAGTGAGTATTGCGGTTTTCCTTGAATATCAATTCATTTCGTGTAGTACTTTTAAGATAGTACATTAAAATCTAATATTTTTTATGCTTACTCATTCGTTATATGCGTTTCATACAAAAAATCTACGTTTCTTTTATTATGAAATTATAGGACCCCACCCCCCCTACAATACATTACGCTGCTCCATGCCGCTTCACAGCCACCCTATTAAATTGAAACTTCTATCTCTCAGAATCTTTAATGCAACTTAATTTTTACAAAATTGGATTGAAGATCAGCAAAAAGATTTGTTAAACTGACCAACTAAATTGCTGTTAAGACAGAAAAGTATATAGTACATAATCTTCTTTTTTTAATCAACATCGTTTATCATTAATTATGTATTAATCAATAAATTTTCACACTACGCAAAGGGTAATACTGTGGCCCGTTAAGAGTTTTTTTTGTTTGGGGAGGTCTTGGTAATGTTTGGAGAAGAAAGGTATGTGAATTTCAACAACATCCAATTCTTCTGAATAGAATGAAAAAAAAAAATATTTTCTTAACTTCAATGTTAAATGTTAATGCTACTATACAATACCAAGTAATTTTATCAATAAAAATATCATTGTAGGTTACAATATTGTTCGATCGTATGAAAAACTCTTATAACATAATAAAGTTCTTGATGAATTCAAGAACCTAAACAATAA